GAAGTGATGTTGGTACCACAAAGCCGGCGTTCTTACTCACCTTCACCGTACAAGCAAGTGTTAATTTATACATAGATAGTCCATTGGTGCAGCCAGGGTTCGAACCTACGATCTCAGGGATGAGAGTAGCACTATGAAACCACTAGAGCTTCTTCTCGATAACAACAACTGGTATGAAGTAATATTAAGGTAAAGCGAAAATCAAACCACAGAATAAAATATTTATTACACGTCAATGATTCGACCCAACGCATCCTTCCGTCTGTTGTTCCGATTTTAAAATTTTAAAATTATTGTTTCAGTTACTTCCGGTTCACTTAATTCAAGTCATCAACAAGGCGATAGCCACTCCAACCCAACTTAATACGGATAAGTATTTTAAACAAAATATAGGTGTTTCTTGTTGTTTCAATTCTGTGTATTCTTCAGGCGTAATCAGCGAATGTATAAGCATTGGCCGCAATGCGAATTCTTAATATACTAATTGTGTGTAGTTGTATGTAGCGAAATCCTGTGAATAACTTAAACAAAATTTCAATTATATAAAATATAATTTCCACAGAAAATAACTAAAATCCTGAGATCTGCCAAATTTGATTATTTCCTCAGACCATAGACGTAAAGTAGTTTTCATTTATACTTCGACTTAAAGTTATAAATCATAATAAAGTTATTATCTTAAGAAAACATGTTTTTAAATTTACAGCGAATATATATATATATTTTTTTTGAAGTGAAACTTCTTTATCGGGGTTGGAAAAAAATTTAGTGTAACATTTTTGCTCTACGCGTCACATTTTTCCGTTACGCGCCATTTTGCTTTTTGAAGTCAAACTTCTTTATCGGCGTTAAAATATGACATATAGTATGTTTTTGAATTTGAAGTTTGACAACGGATTACATTTTCGAAGTCAATCTTCTTTATCGGCGTTAAAATATGACATATAGTATGTTTTTGACTTTGAAGTTTGACAACGGATTACATTTTCGACTTGAAATTTGCTAATCGCAATTTGCAGCAATTAATTTGTAAATTGTATGCTAGGCAGTGTATCAAAATTTACTGTGTTTAAAGAAATAGTTTCTAATAAGGTCATAAAGAAGTTTCACTTCTTACATGTGTACACCTAGTACACGCACATATTTTTTTTAAACTATGTTCTACCATTAGTCGCTATGTTCACAGGATTTTGGTATAAGTAGTAATATCAAGGGACACTACCCTGTACTCTGTGTTGTGTGTAGCTTATAAAGCATAAATAGTTATTTAAATTTGTCTTAATTTTAAGTCAATTGCAATGCTCAAAAGAATGTATTGTAACTAAAAAAATATCAAAATTACCAGATCTTAAATCAAGGGCGCAGAACCTGTAACTCGCCTTTCTCTTGGCCAAAATGTCTGTTTAACCTATTGTTATATAACTATTGTTTATAATGGCTTTTAAGATTATCTTCAGGTTGATCATCAAAAATACTGTCCAAATTCTAGACAATAAAATTTTTAATTTAAGAATATATTTTGTATGTTACTTGAACTTAAATAAACTATTTATGTGAGTTTTGATTTTTATTGATGTTTTCTGCTCGCGATTTCCACATAACTTATTTATATTTTCGAGATTGAACTTGTCCAATTACCTACGCCTTACTGTATCTAGTTAGCACAATTTTATCACAGAAACGTAATTAAAAGTTCTCGTAACCCGAGGAGTGAGAATTTTGAACGTTGGACGAAACGTTCTATATTAGTTATGTTATACCCAAGTTATATATATTTGCTTCAAATAGCTCAAAAACTAATCTGATAAACATAAAAATAGGACATATGAAAAGTTTCATAGCTAGGTCTTGTTAGTTCTGTAATATTGGGAAATTTTATATAAATTTATATAATTTTTTTTTTTTTGTTCGCGTACGCTACTGCCATTACTTACCCCAAGTTCAAAGGTCTAATAGTTAAATCGATTTTCAATGCACATCTTGAAGTAAATACGTCTTGCCCTCATAGTCCTCCCTCTTCATCATGAGTCTAGATATTTACAAATTTTCGCATTAATCAATCAGCTTGAAAGAATTGATAAGGTCATTGAAGCGTTTCTCTATGCAAGGCAATAGAAATTTATTTCTTAAATATTTCTTAATTTGCTAATTGTTTATCAAATTAATTTAATTTAAACTTGGATATGTTTATAAATTTTAACTAGAGACGTCTCAGCTTACTGTTTCTTTAATAATTATTGTTTCGATGATTTATCAGAATATTATAGTTTGCTTAATTAAATTGGTTGTAGAGGTCAAAATTGTTTCGCGCTGCTTAAAAGGATGATAGCAAACACAAATGTGTTCGCCCCATACATATTGCATTTTACACAGATTAAATTGAATCAAAAACACTACTTACGAACTTATACTCGAAGATAATCTAATATATAAAATTCTCGTGTCGCGGTGTTTGTAGTTAAACTCCTCCGAAACGACTTTACCGATTCTCATGAAATTTTGTGTGCATATTGGGTATGTCTGAGAATCGGCAACATCTATTTTTCATCCCCCTTAATGTCAAGGGTAGTCCAGCCCTAAATAATATTTTTTTTAGTTTTTAGATAAATTTTTATTTTTTTATGATACAGCATTAAAAATACACACAGACCCTAATTTTCACCCCTCTACGATCAACCCCTATTTTTTATTATAAATGATATAAGGACATGGCAAAACGACGTTTGCCAGGTCAGCTAGTATTAAATATAAAATTTTGTCATTTTATAAATAAGAAAAGGCTGTATACCTACTGCATTTATTCTTACACTCTTTTTATCCGTGGTAAATATAGCTTGAGTAAGGTGCCGAAACGAAATTATTAGCCGGGAATCGAACCTTGTATCTGAGTGACATATATCGTGCAACCTAAACTAACCAGTTCCAATAACTGTAAAATGACAGTTCGTGTCGAAAAATTTTCATACAAATTTAATTATCGACTTTCTACATACTGTTAAAGCATCTTGACTAAGCCTCCAGTATATAAAAACGAAATCAGTTCAAATGCAGAGTGCATATCCATGTCTCTTTCCATTACAGTGTAAACACAATTTGCCAGACAGAGTCGAGAGTACTTTGCTATATGCGAGCAATTAGATTGACTTTGTTTTTATAAATAAGGTGTTATTTGGATAAGTGGGAGATTCTTCAACAGATATTGTTTTGATATTGCTTTCCATATTTCCAATATTTTAGTAATTATACTATTTTGAATGTACCTGTCGTAGACGGTTTATTGAGTCATAGTATAAATGATTTCAAATACAGTTATAACACTATTTCCTGACGTTTTTTACTAACCTTTCGTTCCAAGGAAGGAATTCTTAATACATACGTCTGAACAGGAAATAAAGCGATTTCTTCGATTCTAATAATAATTTTCATTGAAGAAACGTCATTTTCTATCTGCGGTATGTTGTGGATTAATTTTATTAACATTATTAATTAACTAATAGACAATGCTACGTTACGTTAACTGTTAACTGCTAAATTACGTTTTTTTCGACAGCTTCGTGCAGTTGGAAACTGTGCACTCTAAATTTACATTTTTGACATACGGGACGTTTTTGACACTAAGGCTAGGGACCAGTTGAAAAAAGTTTTTATAATTATACAAGATATATTATATAAGTGTCAAAGATAATTTTAAAATATTATCTAATATTGTATGATCAGACAATAGTCTCCCAAACTAATAAAAGGTCTAATAAGTGAGAGTAAAAGCTAGACAAAGAATGTGGGTCAAACTCGCATGATTTTTTCCTTCCGTAATAAGATTGTATCGCGTGCGCAAATTATTCCAAGAGGTAATGTTTTTTTGATTATCTACGTACAATGAAAATTAATTTTCATTCACCACAAAGACTTTTACTTTATCTCACATGGTAATGATAATATTTATATGTTATCACGTGCTTTAGTAACAATCTAAATGACGCATTTTCAATCTTTTTTTTTAAATATGAATTAATAAAACAGGAACTAATTTTTTAGAACATAGATTCATTCTTCCAAGTTTGTATGAATTTTTAATTTAGTTTTTAACAAATTTAATTATGACAATTTATACAATGTACTGTACTGTGTTGTATTAGGTCCAATCGTAATTCCCAATAAAAGAAAATTCCTTTTTCTATGCAAATTCTACTTCTTCATGGTACTATGGAACTATTAACTTCTACTCCTACTCCTACTCAAACTACTTTCAGTTTCAGTTCAGAAGTTTAAAAGTTTAATACACAACTTCTTTCATAGTTTTGGCTTAAATGAAACTGAAATAGAAAATTTACACAAACTCTCGTTTAAAAACTTTTTTTTTTTTGGATATATACTTACATATAGGAATAGAAATGGACACCATAACACGTATGTCAAGAGACGATAGGGTCTAACATAAAGCTCAACTCTAACAAAACATTAAAGAAAATAATAAACTGATGTAAACTATTTAAGCTTTTAAACACACATGTATATTTTAATGTTATTTGTACGGTTTTATTTACCATATTTGGTTTACATTGATTATCAAATATGAGTGAATACTCGGTAAAATGGAACGACCAAGAGCATTTTATCCTTCGCGAAAAATGGGATGCAGATAGGAGATCTATCGACTGTCACGGTCTGAGATTGAAAACAATCTGAGATTGTGAAATGATTATTGGGTTTGGGCGTTTGTCCTTAGTCCCGCAGTCCTAAGTATCGACTCGATATCTAAGTCAGTTCGTAGCCACAATCGTTGCGTTCATATTTTCGGTAGCTCTTGTAGAATTTTAGTCTTTTTCTTATTATTACAAGATACTTTTTCGTATAGCGTTTTTTGTAGGCACGGTTAAGATTGACGCCGAGACGCAGTCTCGCGAAACGCGACCACGTTGCAATATAAAAGGAAGTAATGTTATAATGTCTTTATCACATTCCATTTGTCTGTACTGCGGTTTGGTCTTGTTCCGATCAACATGTCCAACAATATCTTGGTGAGTTAGCTTTTTTTTGCGACTGTGACGTGTTTTGCATTGCTTTTGTGTCCTTTTTTACTCTGGAGTTCAAGCGAAATTGTATTGTAAGTAATTTAACCCTTAACGTAGTATGTGAATTTTTAAGATTTTAACACATTTTAAATTAGATCAACCAACCATAAACATTTTGATTAACCAACCTTTCTAAATGTGGAATTGTTTTTATATTAATTCTCCGGAAAAAAAGTGTGATGCAAAAATATAAGTACTTTTAATTCCTAAATCGAAATTCAAACATTTTTTCCAAATTGTTCTCGATGTGGACTGGATATAAGTAAATTGATATTATTTATAAAGTTTTTTCTGCCAAATTAGATTTTCAATATAATAATAGAATTTCCTATCAAAGGAAATCGGAAATAGCGTGGAACAAATTTACTATTATTAATTGTTAGTGAATGAACCCAAATGTAAGGTAACTTTATAGGTCAACTTTGAAGTAAAAAAAATCAGTAAACTTTATTACTAATTTTTAATAGTAGTTAATTATAAATTAATGATCTCTTTAGTATCGTTAAAAACATGTGACTGAAAGCTCAAATAAATACAAAATATGTTTTTGATTTCTTCATGGGTGTTTTACTTTAACCTAATGTCTACTTCATTGACTATTTTTAATGTTAATATATTTGGAAATCGTCCCAGGACTTCTGTAGAATGCGTGAAGATATTATAGATACGATTGATTTGTGAGGTATAGAATAGAGCTTTCAAAAAATTAATTGGGGACGGAAACAAAAATACTGTAAAGTTAAACCACGCACGTGAAATCAATTTTAACCCTTATTTCGTTATAACGCAATAGTAAAAAGAATTATAACAAAGTGATTGGCATACAACTATGGGAGCTTATACAAAGGTAAAATGTATTAACTATACAATTTTAAATAGAGCACATCGCGAGAGATTCAATTGGCCTGGATGATAATTATTTTGCGTAAAATTTAAAATCAAAGTATCATTTCGTCGCTGTAGAATAACCTCGTATGTCCAGAGAACCGAACATTACAGGAAATGAAAAAAAAATCATTTCGTCAATGTTCGTCAAAATATTTATATGTCTTTTTGTCCATAGCTTTAGATGTTAAAAAGGACTTATTTATATATAACTTAATTAAGTCCTTACTTCACGATTATACCAGTTAAATGACATAAGAGTCTAAGAATAAAACATAAAATGTTTTTTGACATACGAGGTTATCATTCCACAGTGACGATTTATTCCTGTGAAAAAAAAATCTTGTATCTCACAATTTAACTCTTTCATCTCTTTGTAACATCTATTTTATTTAAATTTATGTACGTAGATAATAGGTAGATCATTTATTAATGAATATTTTCTAAACTAAAATATATATATTTTACTATTATTATACCATATGTTGTTAATGTTATTGCAATCTGCGAATTATATTTAAATTTTTGGTTTCTTTAAATTTTTGACACGCTTGCTAACATATAATAAGGATCTAGGTAACGTTTTTGACTATAAATATAAACCTTCTTAACAACCATGACTACGATATTGGTTAATAGTAATCAATATTTGGTAATAATTAGTATTAGCTAATAAATAATTAAACTATAAATATTATTGTAATACCTAGTACTTGCCAGCAATCTAAGTCAAAATTATACAGATGAAAAATGAGAATTATTCTTTGTTCAAATTGCAAAATCCCGAAAAAGTAGTCTGTTTCCATTTTTTCCTTTACTTTTTTCATACATTACACTAATCTGCATTATTGTTAATAATCTTGTAACTCACTCTTTATAACATATATTATAATATGTATGTATTATCTTTATAACATGGTAATACCTGGTTTCAACCCTCATTGACGCATTACAGGTGCTACTTGCGTGTGTAATCACGCTATCATCGTTGGTCATCGCTGGCGGACACGGCGGTGGTCACAAGAAAGTAATCATACACGTCCCTTTGTTCGTGAAACATCATCATCATAAGCACACGATTGTGAAGCACGTTCATCATAAAAGCGGCGGCGGTGGTGGTGATGATCACTACGAGGTCTTAGGATACACTTATGGTGAACCGAAGCCAGCACCTCATTTTGGAGGAGGTAATAACGCATATCGATTCTCGAAGAGCCTGGATTTATAGAATTCCTACCTGGGGCAAAGGTTCAATGAAACGGCCGTTCACCTATAGTTCATATGTTTTTAATAAAAATATTTGTTTCTTTGTCTGGTCATTTGTTTCGGTACGTTTAATTTAGTCGTCTGAATTTAAAAAAGTTTTAGCTTTAGGCCAAGCCTACTACTAATGAGGAGAACATATAGTGCAGCGTGCTTGACCAACATATATATTGTAATGTATACGTATTATATATATTGTAATGATTATTCTCAGGTCACGGTTGGCACGCAGCGGAAGAAAGTCAAGTACACGACAGTCCCGTCAGTTTCTCCGGCAATGACCACGGTTTATACTCCCTCACAGACCAAAACGAGTATTGAAATGTCAAGAACATGCAACAAGATACCTTCCGGGCGCTCACACGAGTGTAAAGTTACCATACCACAACAGATATAAATCTTTGATGGATGTTAGTGTAATGTTAAGGGTATTTGACTATAAAACTCTATGTTAATACTGTATCTATCTGTGAGTTAAAGAAATACAAAATATCGGACAACTAGAAGTTTCATCAAGACCATCTCAGCTGAAATCGCTTCTATTGTTCACACAATTCATGCTTCCGTTCTGTTTTAGAGAGTTCTGCTCTAGTGTTTCATCCATCGTTGCCAAAACTATTGGAACTTACAAAATCAAAGCGTATATAACGAAACTTAATTAACAGTAAAATCGTCTACATGATGGACTAACGTCGAATCTCTTTTTTATTTGGCTATTTTGACTTCAAAATCCTGTGTTCAAGGATTATTTTTACCAAGGCATCAGGATTTCTTCTCTTTCTTCAGTGTTTTATTTGAGCACCATATATAAAGAGTAAAAGTCAGCGTTTACCAGATGGAAACGACATATCTCAATTTTAAAATTGTCTATTTCGAAGTCAAAATTCAAATAACGGAAAATTTAAAATTCACTATAACCAGGTCCTTTCGTAGTACTGAATTTGAGCACCATATGGAAAGATTAAAATTTCTGATATGAGAAAATACTAATAACGGAAAATACTGTTTGCGGTCCTTTTTGTCCATCATCATTTTTAATTTTTCCACGTTCTATGTGAAGCGTTATATGAAATTCTGTGGATTTTTTTATTAAGCGTTGTGTTCATAACTTAATATATCCTTGCTCGATGTATTCTTTGTATAGATTTGCATATATGTATTTCAAAGTCGGGTACCCTTTTAAATCAGTATTAAACTTAATGTGTTTAAACTTTATAAAATACATACCTAGCTTAAGAAGTGATAAAATCAATATATTTATAACTTTCCGATTCTGGTGACTAATCTATGTATAACATAGTAACATAATAATGTATATTTCTGCCAAAAATCCACATTGTTACCGTAGTTTTACGAACGAATGTTCATGAACACATGACTGATGTTATTTAGTATTGTTTGTTGATTTTTAATACATAATTTGTTAATATAAGATAAATACATGAGAAAAAATGTTGTGGCATTTATTGAAAAACCTGTAGATATTTTTGAAAAAGTAATAATAAAAATAATTTAAAATTTGTAAAAATAAAATTAGAACAAATTTAAAAAGTTTGGTCTCTATGGTGTGGGGTACATTTAACGCTGGTAGCATTTCCTCGCTGTATTGCGGTAGTTATTCGTAGAGCCAGGAAAGCACCAGCTCTGGGGTCTCCGGAAACCCCACGGCCCAACAATAGTTCACATTTGAAAACTTTTTTTTTTAAGTAACTAAGTTCTGAGTTGAACTTCCTTTGATAGTGATCCTGACTTTTCATGGATTTTCTTTATCACAAATCCGATTTATTCCTTTTAGTGCTGTCGCAAATTTGGATAACTGGTATCACTTAACATCAGGTGAGCCTCCTGCCCGTTTGCCCTCCGTTCTATAAAAAAAAAACATAGGTTCATTAATTTCCTTACTATCATGTAGGCCTTCTGTGCCTGGACAAACACGGGTTTTTCAATCTAACCACCACCGTACTGTATTTTCCTTCAACCTTTCATTCCGTACAAAAAGAATACTGTTATGGGCACACACAAACGCACGACTAGTGCAAAATCTATTTGCACCAGCAATACTTCCGGATGTTTGCTAATAAATTAGATACCTGTAGAAGAAGATGCTTGATAAAATATAAATAAAAGCATAGGTACATAGGTGGACAATATTTCAGTAAATCGGCGACAGCTGTTAGGGATGATTGACCTACCTTCTTATAAAAAAAAGTGCGTGCGTACCAAAGTACACATGTCAGAAGTGAAACTTCTTTGGCAACCTTATTTTTAAGTCTGGTTCATATCTATACAAATCTAAAACTTTACATTTCCGAGGGAGGGAAAAAGGAAGATATGTTAGGAAATAATTTAATTAAATTATCCTTAAAATATTAAAAGGTTCCAAAATTAATACAAATTATATATATTTTTTTCTTCGATAATAAAAACACGTGACATTTTAATTTACAATTCGTTATTTGAGATTTCAATAAATTATTTTGCATAAAATATAAAATACTAATATTTTATAAATTCTCTTTACGAAATTTTAATTTTATAAATAGAATTTCTATAAGGTCTGAATCGCTCTCTCCCTTTTCTTCAACAAAAACGCTGCACATCTTCGTGACGTCTTTGTAAAAATTTACCCTCATGCGGCTAAAGAAGTTTCACCTCAAAAGAAAAACGACCAAGTGACAGATTCAATTGAAGGGGTTAGACGCTGCTGTGTTAGTAGCGTTTGATTGTTTATCGTTTGCTTATAGATGCGTTTGGTCATTAACATAGTTTTAAATGTTTAACACGTACATAAGTATATAGTATATCTCTCAATAAGGCTGATTCAGAAAACATTTTTCTTAAGTTAGTATGAATAACATGTGTTTTCCAAAAAGTCAAGACTTTTTTATATCCGATAATCCCGTGTTTTGTGTTCTCCGGTTGAAAATTAAAGACAAAGTAAAGAACTGTATACCTCACAAACAAAGTCAGGAGAATGTGGCAATATATTTAATGTTACTAAAAAAAGTTAAAAAATAATATATCCTTCATTAGATATAACGGCTTTGTTATTAGTAACAAATATATGCATCTTACAATTTATTATATATTTTCTTTGTTTGTATAAGTAGGTAATAATTATTAACTGTGTTTTATGTTTATGTTTGAATATGTATTCCGATTTTGGCTTTTGTGTATATTGTAATTGTTTAGATATTAAATAATAAGTAGCTGTTGAAATACTGATAAGCAAATTAATAAATAAACCTCGGATTAAGCTTCCGCGGACTTTTCGCCTATTTTATTACACCGCTGCTTTTATCACATAGATTTATAAAATGGCGTAGGATATAATCAATCTACTTTCCTTAAGAGTCGTTTAAGAAAAAACGTCAAAGAATCTATCGCCTGACTTGTTTAGAAATAACAAGAATTCATAATGCGTGACGAAAGCAACAGAGGTTGACAATACTCCTAAGATATATAAGAATATATATGGTCCAATTATTTCCCTAAAGCAATTTCGAACGGAATTATTAAATTGCATCACTGTCATTTAATTTTTCTACTATTGTTACGTTTGGAGACAGTTATGCAACTTCCTAGTTATAAGTGGGGCATGAAATTATGTTTTGGTCATTTTTTAGGTTTACCACAGTTGCGATGTAATTTGGACATAAGCACTAGAGAAAGGTTGTTTTATTGCTACGAGCCTACGAGAAACAAAAGTCTAAATCACAGTTTAATTTATTCAGTCACTTTATAAGTTTTCGTAGTTAAGAATTTTTAAAACATAAAATGGACTAAAATACAAAGTGTGTCTCGTTTTATATTAGTTTATTGGAGAGATATGAAATGCGTTCTTTATATTGTTTTAGTTAATATGATAATAAACATAGTAACAGAGGAATCTGAACAATACTAATAAGGCTCAAGTCGCTAGCGTTCACTCAAGAAATCGGGAGCTTCTTAAAAATACCACAAATAACTTTGGGGCATCGACCTGTTGTCTTAACACAGAAAATGATCTAGTTGACCATAAGGAAGTTGGTATAAATAAAAGATAACGCTGTTACTAAGGTGGAAGTAATAGAAAATAATAGACTTAATACGATCAATTTATATTAGAGTAAATGTTTAATTTCATACAAAAAAATCTATAAAATAATGCGTTATTAGCTTAATTAATTATTGCAAGGGTGGTCGGAAATACACTAAAACCAATTATGAAAAGATTCGCCCTTAGATTTACAGTCGTGACTAAGCGTTAAGTTTTTGATTTAGATAAGTAAGACTGTATTTAGCTTGACATTCGGGAGTCGTACTTAGCTAAGGGTGATATTTGGAAACAAGTTTTGGCGCTAAGTGTGACACCCGTATGTCCAAAATCTATTATAGTATTCATACTAAAATGTAAATTTCAAAAATCTTTTCGGATATCGTTTCTAAGTTTTCTCCTGTCGATTATAAATCTGAGGGGAAATCTCACATTAAGTCACATTCTTTGTCTAAGTAAAATAACATGAATATAAAAAATATAATATCGTAACACGAATCGTTACTTATCTTACTTAAGACTGAAAAATTTTCAGATAATCTTTTATAGATTCTTACATATAGTAGAAACTAGTTCTTTACAAAACAGTTATCAATAATCAAGAAATGATGTAGATGCTTAAAACAATTTGTAACACAATTTTTCCCTAAAACTAACACTAAAATATATAAAATACTGTAAGTTTCGTTAGTTGTCTAATCGGTTCTAAAACTAAATTTTGGTTATTCTTTCTATCTACTAGTGTAACTAATAGATTGTACGCCTTCCGTATTTATGGTCTCTTGGATTCCTCCTTGTCTCGAAAACGAAACTGGGGAATCATCATGGAAGCCACCAGATGTTGATATTAAAGCTCTACTACCAATATCACCTATAACGTTAGTGAAATCATCGAACCCTACATTTTCGGCTGCATTTCCGGAGCTAGGGAATTGTGCATCTGCAACTTTTGGTGTATTTCTCTGATCAGTGGTAAAACTTTCTAAATTTGCGTAATTCGCGGGTTGGATTGTGTTCATAAATAGGTCAGGATTTGATTGTACTGAATTAAGTTGAGGTATATCAGAAAATGTATCGCCCTCGGGCGCTGCACTTTTGATAAAGCCGTATGTTCCGGGAAAGGCTTGTGGAGTATTAACTGCTGTATATACTTCTTCTTCGTTATCATTTCCCTCCTCCGTCACTTCATACTCGTTAGCATTTCTTATATTGGGTACAGCGTTTGGTAGTGAATCAAATACTTTTACCTGTTTCACTGTATGTACTACACCATGTACACGTGGTG